AGAGCAGCTGTAGACCGAGAATAGTGATGACATGTATGGGCTTCTCAACATTTCAACTTTTTCCCAGGCTGGAGGGCCCCACAGAGCATAGGACAAGAACTGGACGTTTCTCTTGCTTGTGTAATCTTGAAAACGCTGTGGCAAAAAGCAACAGGCAGTCCTTAACAGAAACAATCAGAACTAGTTCTGCAGATTTGTTTCCTTCAGCAGAAAGCCGCCAACTGGACTCTTCTGAAAACTCGGACACCACGAATCCACACATAGAATCACACTAGTGGTAGGGCGACTTCCCAGATCAAGAGTCCTGATGTAAGGAGTCCTGATGTAAGGAGACACATTGAGCGAGAAAATGACTCTCACTTCCCATTGGCTGAACTTTCAGTTTGGCCCTCTAATACAGTTTCATTGGTTGCTATTGCTGTCACGTCTTTTCGCCACACCCACTTCCTGGTCCGCTTCTAGCAAGGGCAGGACCAGAGTGCGGTACGGTAGTCTGGGGCTCTTCCATTTCCCCATACACTAGGCGGAGGCTCTTGCCCCGCCCCTGTATGCTCGAGGGCCCGCCCCCAGACCATCAGTTCCCACCCCTTATGGTTGGAGCCCCGCCCACAGCCCGAGATACCGCCTCGGAAAGTTAGATCCCCGCCCCCAGCTCATGATCGCACCCCTACCTGCGGTGCCGCCCTAATTTGTGGTCCCGCCCCTATGCTCAAGCCCCGCCTCGGGCAAGACAGGTCCCCGCCCCTTGCCCGCGGACCCGCCCCTCCCTCCCCAGAAGGCGGCGGCCGTAGCCGCAGGAAGATGCTGGAAGCGGCGGGGCGCGCGCCGCAGAGGTGCTGAAGGGACAGTTCCCGCGGCAGAACTTGCCCCTGAGCGCGTGGGGCACAAAAGCGATGGAGACTATCTGGATCTACCAGTTCCGCCTCATCGTGATCGGGGACTCCACGGTGGGCAAGTCGTGCCTCCTGCACCGCTTCACCCAGGGCCGCTTCCCAGGGCTGCACTCCCCCGCCTGCGACCCCACGGTTGGCGTCGACTTCTTCTCGCGCCTGCTGGAGATTGAGCCGGGCAAGAGGATCAAGCTGCAGCTCTGGGACACGGCGGGGCAGGAGCGCTTCAGGTAGGGAGGCACCCGCTACGAGCTCTCGAAAGTGCTCGCGCTCGGTGCTCGCTTCCCCTTCGCCCCTCCCCTTCCAGGGGCTACTTCCTCCTCCGCAGTTTCTCCTTTCTTTAGCGCGGATTCCTGCGCCCCCTTTCTGTCTCCTTTCCCGTCCGAACCAGGGTCGCCCAGTCTTCCCTAGCTCTATCTGCTCTTCTGAGCATGTGGGTCCCTTTAGATCCCCCGCTGCCTTCACCCCAATCTCGACTTCGCACACACACTTGACTCAACGACCTTCCTCCTAGCGTCCCGTCTTCAGCCTTGGCCAAGCCTCTTTCGGGCCGGGAGAAATGCCAAGTGGGGTTCCCTGGTCTGTGATAAATCTTTAGTTCTCAGCAAGCGTAACTCCAGCTGGGGTTATGGCCTGGGCTCCCTCGGAACGGTTCACAGCGAGATGCATGCGGTTGGTTGGAACATCTGACAGCACCAAGTGCGGTCATCAGAAAATACTGGGCCATGACCCTGGGGAGTAGGTCCTGGAAAACCACTCAAGGCAACATCGGAGTCACAGACACAACTGAGGGTGTGTGTGTTTGTGTTTAAAGGGTGGAGTTGCCTTTAAAAGTTTGTCTTCTTTGGTGCTTTGACGTGAGAAAGCTAATATTGAGGTTTGTCTGCAACTTTCCCTTTATTTCATTGATCCGTACTTAACGTTCCGGCGTGATAACAAGAGAAAATACTTTTCTAAATTGTACAAAGACGACTAACGTTACGGAAATTTAAAAAAAAAAAAAAGTAAATGAAACTGAAATCCTTGGATATTTGAGACCAAATCACATTTAAAGCGTATTTCCAGTTTCTGGGTTCGAAGAGTACTTTATTTTAGAGGATGGTAAGAAACTGGTAATGTACTGTTTTGTTTCTTAAAAATCACATGATCAATTGGAACTCTTGCGGGCTAGCATTTTTACGTCTCTCAGCAAGTACTCTGCTTGTGAAATAAAGAACTCCATTAAGGAACTTCCCAAACATGGCTTCCCCTCACTCCCAACCAGCATCCGTTCCGAATGAGTGGAGCCGACATCTGTAGAGTGTTCAACATTGAAATTTTTGGCTTCCATTCCTGGGCCTGACACTGATTTGTGGAGATAGTAAGGGAACTAACTGCCTTGCTTGCTTGTAGAGTAGTTTTCCTGCTTTTGTGTGTGAAGTACAGAAATGGTAAGGTCAGCTTTCAGAGGTGTTAAGGGGCATCGATTTTGTTTAGAATTCCATGAAGACATTTTTGTTCCCTTTTCAATCAGCCTCCTTTGATTGAAACAGTTTTTAAAACTTGTGTAAAATGAAGATATCTTCATGATTTCTAAGATTCCTTCTAGTTCAACCACTCTTGAGATCAGTTACAGATTCTTCTATTTGTGCTCTTAGTCGGGGTTAAACTTTGAAGTATTTCAAGGTCAGAAAAAAAAAACATTTACTGAGAGTGCTTGCTCTGCCCTTTAAAGGTAGTAAAATTTTCCTGTTTCTATTTACTTAAAAGTAATTCCTCGACCTAGTGACAGGAAAATAAAGGATAATTAATCTATTAGAATGTAAAGACCTTTGCTAAAGACAGTTTTGTAATGCCTTTGAGAAGAATGTAAATAGCAATTCATTTTATATATACATTATTAAAACCATCCAGTAACTGCCCCATAATAATGCAAGAACAGTTAGAGAATGTTTACAATGAGTCATACTTTGTTTTGCTTGGCTCTTTACCAATGGCATATTCATAAATACATATTTCAGTAGCTACCTACAATACTTGCCTTTCTAACATTTAGCAGAAAGCTTCACCATAAAACTGCATTCAAAACAATTACTGTTAAATCATCCCACATCTTCTAGAAAATACAGATGTTTATTTTGAATCATGGATCTCCTGGCACGTTTTATTACATTCAAGGGTACTTGGAGATATATGCCTGTCATTACAATCACACCCTGAGGAATTTGTGGGAAATATTGTATTAGAAGGTTTATTGGTGATTAGACATAAAGCAAAAAAGGAGCTTACCTCAGAGAGCTCATGGTGTAGCTTGAAAACATCAAGAAATATATTACAGAACAATGAAATGACCAGCTGGTAATTATCATGACTAGTTTTCTGTTCAGTATTTAAATTAGCATTCTAGTGGATTTTAACTACTTGCAAAACAAAAAGGGACAAGATCAGCTGGACATGGTGACACTTGCCTATCATTCAAAGGTTGAAGCAGGAGGATCTTGTGTAGCCAGCCCAGGCTACACAACCAGACCCTCTCAAAAGGGAACAACACAAGCCTTTAATGCCAGCATTTGGGGGGTTTTGGTTTGGTTTGTTTTTTTTTTTTTCTTTTCTTTTCTTTTTTTTTTTTTTGGTTTTTCGAAACAGGGTTTCTCTGTGTAGCTTTGGGTGCCTGTCCTGGATCTCGCTCTGTAGCCCAGTCTGGCCTCGAACTCACAGATATCCGCCTGGCTCTGCCTCCCAAGGGCTGGGATTGAAGGTGTGTGCCACCATACCCGGGGCCATATAGCGTTAGTAAGTTTATAGGAAGGGTTAAAAATATAAAAGGTGTTAAGCAGAGGAATATAAATTTTGACGGTTTTTCCATAAAATGCATTTATGTAATATAAAATGCTATGGTCTGTCTCCTTGTGCTGAAACCACCAGTTTCCACCAGCTCTACCAGTGTAACTGGTAAGAAGTGTCAGGATTTCTAAAAGGAGGGCTCTATAGAGTAAAGTCGTTGGGTCTTTGGATACATCATCCTTGAGAGGGATCAAGTAATTTCTCAGGGAGGGTCTGCAAGATGGCTCTGTAGGTAAAGGTACTTGCTACCAAACCTGGTAAACTAAGTTTGATTCCTGGGATCCACATGGTATAAAGAAAGCATTGACTCTTACAAATTGTCCTCTGACTTCTATGTGTATACTGTGGTGCCCCCCCATAAATAAATTCATGAAATAAAAATTTAAAGGAAAAATTTAAGGTAGAACATTTTAAAAAATAATTTCTCATGGAACCCCAATTAGTTTTGTGAAAGTAAGTTCTTACAAAAGAATGGCCCCTCCCAGCTTTCTGGCACCTTGTCTGGCTGTATGATGTCTTCCTCTCCAACATGCTGCCGCCAGGATGTCACCTACCAGCCAAAGGGGCCCTCACCAAACCTAGTGTCAAGCTATTAGGACTTTCAGCCTCCAAAACTGAACTACATGAACTATTTTCCTTTCTACTGTATCCAGCCTCGGGTATTTTGTCAGAGTAGCAGAAAGTGGTCTAAAATATAAAGTAGAAAAAGCATGGTAGCAATAATGAATACACACATACCATAAGACTTCCAGATTTCAAACCACATTTGGCCATTTTTTCCATATTGTCTGACCTTTGGGTAGTACAATTATAGCCACTAATTATAATGCTCAGAGAATAGTGTCTGCCTCCGTGCTCTCAAGATGTGCTCTGTAGAACACTCATCTCCTGTGATTCTTTTCAAAGGATGACTTGCATAATTACATGTGTTTAGAAATCTCTACCCATATAACATCCCCTTAAAACACCTTATCAAAGCCTCTAAGAAGCAAGGTGCGATGGTATATGCCTGTGATCTAAACACCTGGGAAGCAGAGGCAGGATTGTAAGTTTGAAGCCAGTATAGGCTACATAGCAAGACTTTTTCTCAAACTACCAAGGACTAAAGCTGTAGCTCAGTGGCAGAGTACTTGTTTACCATTCCCAAGACCCTGGGTTCGATCCCAGCACTGGAGGAAGAAAGCTGCAAAGGAATATTGCAGCAAAGAAATGTGTGTTTAACTTTGATTAAATTAACAGATTTACTTGGGCTATTTCCAAAATAACCAATTAGGGATAACTGGTGCGCAAGGAGTATGTATGCTTGGGGAAAGGCTCCTTTGATAAGTTGCTTTCATCTTTTTCAGATTTGAAGCAATAGCAGACCTACATGAATGAGTTAGCTGGCTAATTAACTTAGCAAAAGGCTTTAGGCTGTAAGGCTGTTAGTTAACTCCTGGGCTCCTCCTGTCTGCCTCAGTGTTGAGGCTACAGTGCACGCTGCCAAGCCTGGCTTTTCTACACAGGTGCTGGGACCCAAATAGGTCCTCATACTTACAAAGCAAGTGCTTTACCCACTGAGCCATTTCCCCATCCTCTTTTTCTGATTCATTAGCCCCTCCCAATGTATCCCTCTTTACAGGGTTTAGTGTGATATAGAGTCATGTAGATACTGCCGAAGTACAGCTTCAAATATAGATGCTGCCTCAGATGTACAAAGTGTAGTAAGTGACCCAAACTGAAACCAAGAAATGAGACCAAGAGACAATGCTGCAAAGGGGAGTTAGGTGGTTCCTAAAAACTTCCCTAGCTGGGCTGGACAGTGGTGGCCTCTTGGGAGGCAGAGGCAGGTGGATTTCTATCTCTGTGAGTTGGAGGCCAGCCTGGTCTACAAAAAAAAAGTTCTAGAACAGCTAGGACTGTTACACAGAGAAATCCTGTCTCAAGAAAAAAAAAATTAAAAACAAAACAAAAAACAAACAAACAGAACTTCCCTAGCTGTTAAAAAAAAAGGCATTATGAAGAAAGATTATAGATTCTCAAATTATAGGTATTGCCTGCTACTTTTCCTTGAAATAGTTTTCAATATGCTATTAATAGGTGTCACCAGAGAAAAGACTTTCTTATTTTTTATTAAACTAAATTTACACAATTTTGTTGAGAAATGGTCTCATGAAATCCAGCTCAAACTCACTTTGTAGTTATTCCTTTAAAACTGAACTCCTGATCCTCCGGTCTCCACTTCCCAATGGAAAAATGCCATTTTCTAAGTAATGTAATTAATGTATAGAGAATCTTTGACTTGCCCAAGATCTTATAGCCCATAGCTGATTTTCGTAAGAACTCAGTTTTCGCCGGGCAATGGTGGCACACACCTTTAATCCTAGCCCTTGGGAGGCAGAGGCAAGTTGATCTCAGGCAGCGATGG